GGTAAGATACAGTCGAATGGATCAGTCGCTCTTTTCAGCTCTTAAGTTATTCAAACTTACACTTGCATTCGTAGATTCTCAAGAGTCTCAAGGCCCAAAATAGCACTATGTATCTTGTCTCAGAAGTTAGTCTCAATTGTATCTATCCTTCATTCGGATTTGGTAATTTTGTTCTAATTCCAAACTCGATACAGAGTGCCTCGTCGCCAAGTGCGACTGTCGGACAAACGGGGTCTCGGGTTGGCGATTTCAAACTTTTAATTATTTTATGTCCAGGTTTCCTCACGATGTTTTCCTTCACCATTTGTCAGTGGTGTCTAAATAATCTTAGAAATAACCCAGAATAAGTCGCATTGATACTTGCCGTTGATAGGTTTCGACTGCACGAGGGCGTGTATAAGAAGCCACCTCGACATACCTTTACCCACTAGAATTTTTTTTTTTACTTGCTTATTGGGTCATAATTTATTCTGAACAAATGAAATGACACAGTTCAGTTCAACAGTTATTTTCCCTTCTCCAACGAGTCTCGCCCTCCACAGTCGGTGTTCAGTTTCAGCGTCACCAAATAGTCGCCTCTCTATAATTTCTTGCCTTCACACTCGCCTTGTATTACGGCCACGACCTTACGCCACGGATCGCACACCCACGTCATTCTTACGTACAATCGTTAACACATTTACTACTTACTAGAAACGAATGTTATTCAATAACTAGGTCAACTAGTTTATATGATAAATGTTATTGTAATAGCTGCATCTTTTTGGTCTAGTAGTTTAAGTGTGGGAGAGCCATGCTTCGGCACAAATGGGCTTGACCGGAGTGATACCACGGCCTTACAGAAAACCGACGTGAAACAACGCTTGCGTTGTTTCGTCGTATGGATGAGGTTACCTTAGGCCCAACTACCTATTTTGAAAAAAAAAAACAAAAAGAAAACCTTAATATTCAATGTCTTTCATATGTCTATAAATCCCTGACCTACCCGAGTCAGCGTAACCAACCTTTCTCATATCCTGCGGTTACTAGTCCTTTCCAGAAAAGGTCGTTTCTGTTTGATTAACCCAATTAAGTTAACCCCAGCACGTCTTACACTAACCACATGTCACGTTGTAACTACCTATCTAAGTAATAAACCAATGAGACTGTCTAGTGCGCATTTAAGACAATTAGTCGAACAATAGCAACATAAATCTGCCGATTTTTTCTTCTTGATGGAAAGTTTTTTTCGCAAGAGAGTTGTTTCGCTTTTAAAAAGAAGTTCGGAATAGTTATCTACTATTAGTGTGTTCTCTAATAAATCTGAACCTTGTAAGCCGTGATTCCCAAACTCCCTGGCAAAAGAGGCAAGTGTCGAGATTATGGCAATTTTTTTGTTTTGTTCACGCCTAGATTCTAGCAGAAGACTTTTAAGGGTGTTTTTCATATGTTTTTTTCTGATTGATGATAATGATAAACCATTAATTGATTGATGAATTCGTTTTATATAAATAAATAAGTAAAAGAGTACCTAACAACGACTCCCTAAAATTTATAAATAAGACTTGAGCAGTTTTACGACTGACTATTGAATTCCGGCACTTCGATCAATTACGATTGCCACTGGGCCAAGGTCTGTGTATTTAGATTTATAGCTTGCTCCTCCGTAACTATAAATCTATACACATAAAACTATGATTTTTGAGTACCTAACTACTGACGAATTACAGTAAATATAAAATAACAAAATGGTATGCTATAAAAATAAAGCTACCATTTAATTTTAAAAGTGGGTAGTGATGTGACTACGAGCAATACTTTCAATATTTATACTCCTCGTATTTATGCTTGAATTGTTATAGCTTTTTGTAAGGGAGGTACTTATTTTTGTTAGGGGGAATGTCATCGAACGACTTCGGCGGCGGGAGGGAGTGTCAGACCCTTACTGACTAAAAACCACCCCGTTCCTACTCCTGCACTACGAGCCGGAGCCCCAGCAACCTCCACGGCTCAGGTAGGTCCTCTTGCTTTCTATGAAAATATTCATGCTTGCTTATGAAAAACAACTAGGCTATTGTATAACTTTCAATGCAGACGATTTACCTAATGCGCAAGTGAGCTGAGCTAGCGATTCGATTCCGAGGTCGTGCAAACTTTTCCACATTTTCAGAAATTTCACAATTTCACGGAGTCTGATGTTGTGGCCGGTATATGATACATAAGTATAACATTATTTTTGAAAATGAAGATTCCTATGGACATTTGCTATTTAGGGATTAAGTTGGCTGGTTATGCTATAGCTGCTACTCTCGCGCAGTTTCACCTATTCTATTCAGCTCCTATTAGTTGCAGTTTAGTGCCTACAAACAAATAGACAAAGAAGCTCATCAACTTTAAATAATAGTAGGTTTAAGATTAGGTATGTGTATATATCTGTTTAGAGTAGTTAATACTTAAAATTTTATCACATATATATCTCTAAACAGATATTTTTAGTTTACTCATGTTTATTTACACTAGACAAATGTATGAAGGTAGATATAACAGAAAAGTCCAATGTTCAGTGTTAGGTAAGTGCTTAAACTATTTTGTTGCCAAATTCACCAGTTTTTTGTAAGTTGCAAATTGTCATTTCTAAATATAATCAATTGCATTTAGTATGCGAAAATTACAAAGGATTTTGAGGACATCTTAATATTAAATCAATCCTTGTTTAAATGCGAAAGTGCGTTTGTTTGCTTTCACGTCCCAACCGAGCGTTTTTACACTATGACTTTTGTGTTTAAAGACACTTCGTATGGAGTCTGGAGAATCGTAAGGTAACTTCTCTTATTCTTTAAGCACGCGAAGGAAGTCATAGAATATTAGTAGATAAGTTTATAAATTGGTAGATACTTCTTTCATCAATTTCAACAGTTAGCAACTAAACGAAGCCTACCTACTTGAATAGGTCACCGCCTTTACCATTAGGTATCTTATGCTTATCTATCTACTATGTACGAGCAGTTAGCACGAAGTTCTACCTACTTATACCACCTACATCTAAGACTTGGTGAGCATAATAATGTTCATATTACTAGAAAATCGATTTAATCTTAGACTTCCCGCCCACATGAACTGTCTAATCGGATCATGGCAAAAGTACATGCACCAATAAATTTGTGACTTATACATTATTCATGAGCACTTGTTCTTAATTAAAGACCAATATAATTACAGGTCCTTACCTCCTGAGTGGCGTATCATAGTTCTCTGATGACGAACTCGTCGAAGTCGATGTATCACTCCTACTCGAGTTCAAGTGGTTTACATGTGTAATTGCGTAAACTTGACAACTCGCACTTTTCCTCAATGGCCCAGGCTTTTTGGACCCCGCCATTGCACTTTGCACCATAACACTAAGAAATACAAACTGTTTTTGCACTTAACATCCAGTGAAGTAAGATACACTATCCGCTCACTTTGAAATCAGTTTTAAAACTAAGAATTTGTTGACTATCTCAATGGATAACAGTCTCACATGAAAATTTTGTCACTCGCTTCTAAATTTAAAACTGAGATGTACAGATTGGCTCGACGCACGCGGCGGCGTTCAGTATTGCAAACTGACTTGACTCATCATACAATTAGATCAGTCGAAAAACGCCCAATTCATCTTTACTGCCGCACATTACTGGAATTCATAAACATTTTACGTAAGCCCGTACAGACGTACAGCGAGATCTCGACGATGAATAAGATTTAGGTATCTAGCAGCATCACTCAGTGGCAGAATGCTTATCTATAGGTACCCACATGTTAAACTCAGGGTCAGATAAAATATTAATAATCTTTTGTTTTAAACGAATAAATGGTTTCACTTCCATGCTTTTAGTTTGCCGTCTTACTAAATTGCTTGCCGGGCAGTCTATGTCATTTACATATCTAAGATTATTATCATTACATATTAATTTTCCCGATGACCCAATTGGCTGTACTGCAATGTCTGACACGTGTGCACAAGGTCATTGATTCGTTTTCATGATCATGGGTTTCAAGCCGAAAACACAATAATTAATATAGTATGTCTCACCTTTTTTATATGTTATACATGTGTATAATCAATTTGAACTCTGTACTTGATTAACACAATATTTTATCGTTCTAACAAGATCATATAGATACTTTTATATGAGATTAAAGAGCAACACAAAATATGAAGACATGAACTCGTCATATATCGTTCATACGTTCTTGTTGATCATAAGATTATTCAATTAAGAAAATATTGCTTGTAAGCAAATTGAACATCAAAATGTGAAAATGCAATATAGTTATAGTTACACTTCATTAATCTGAAATAGCTCTCTATTGAAGTCTGGTGATGGGGATATCTTCAATTTTCCATTTCATAAGGAAACTAATTAAAAAAGTAATTCATGGAATAAAACAAAAATTACCTTAACCGTTAAAATATTCTTTATTAACATCTAGCTAGAACCAACTTAAAGTTAGAACAAACGCATAATTTATAGGTATGTATAGTTAAAGAACATTTTATAGTCTTATAACAATCGCTGTATTTTTACAGGACAATTTTATTTTTTGGAGTATTTATACATCTATGAACACTTATGTTTTACGTTATATTTATATATAAACACTATTGCCGCAAAAATAGTATATTTGTAGTAGAAAAATAAAAGGAAAATCTATCCGAAACGTCAGATCAGTTTATTATGCCGTCTTTTTAGCTTTAAAATAAACAAATATAGGTAAAAAAAGCGGATGACTGCTTAGTATTTGATACTATAATTAATGTAGTTGGCCAAAATAGTATAAATTATTAATATACATTACGTGACATTACATTTGATCAATAACAACGGGTACTGGCACTAAGCCATACAGAAATGACTTTACCGAGTACCTATAGGATCTTAATAAATGAAACAATATCGACGTTTAATTAAATTTCAATACAAAACAATACAAAATATTCAACAATAACTGCTTCATGTTTTTTTTTGTAACATTTAGATACAGTAAAACGGGTGAATAGAATTCGAGGGGTGAATAGATACAGAAGGGGGGTGAATAAATGTTGGGAAAATAGTCTAACACTTATCCACCCTATTCCTGTATATATTCATCCCGTTTTACGGTATTCATATTTCGGTTAAGTCTGTCTGTTAGGGCTATATTTCACTGGAACACGTATGGCATCGCAACCAGTTACTGCCACCAATAAAATGTATGCAGCTCTATAGTTACTCACCTGGTGTTGGCTTGGTTATGCAACCAATCTGGTGGCGCGACTAGCTCGGACGCCAGCGCAAAATGTTACTGGTCCCGCCACAATTAATTACTATAGCGCTGTATGGAGTGTTATTCACTCAGCTGCCAGTCTGGTCGCCACGCGATGGTGTCCCGGTGACATATAAACCCGTAATGCAAATCGTTCTGCTTATGACTAAGAGCCCCGGAATGACTTGAAAACTAGTAGAGCTTCTCTCAAATTATTCACGTTATTATGTATACATAATTATTATTAATTTAGCAAATGTAACAATCACGTTATATGTTGTAATTCTCGCCGTGTAATTTATCATAGAAAACAATAACAAGAGAAATGCTATAAAATAAATAAATAAACAAGGTTTTACTTTAAATTACATAAATAAATATTTATGTAAAAACAACATTTGTTAAAGAGAAACTTAAGTACTAACTTAGAGCTTGTAAAAATGTATAAGTTCTAGTGATTTGAGTAGCGAAAAATACCAAAAATAATGGGACCTATCGTATTTTTGCTCACTCGAGTGCCGAGTTCGTATATCGATACTAATGAATGTATAATAAATATAATGAAGAATATAAATTCACTACTATTATACTATCGATATTCTTACGATACGAATGCGATGGTTATTCGTCCTTGGCACTCAGATAGGGCTAGTGTGAAGCTCTCGCTTTTCATCCAATAGGATATTAGCTAGTCTCACACCATTGGGCGTTCGATATTTGACAGCTACTGTGACTGGACCAAAACCTCTTCCTACATTTGCATCATCTGGTGAATGTAGGTTTCGTATATTTAGTACATCGCGACATTCGCGATACCAGAGGCAAATTGCCTTACTGACTTACACCCTTTGTTTTCTTAGTTTTCGCTATCCACATCATCATATTGCAAATGGAACATTTTCTTGTACAAAAAGTACTTTGGCAGCACAATTAATATTAGCAACCGTTTGTAAAGGAATAATAATAATAACGTCAATAAACTCCACAAAAACAAATTTGACACTTTTTAGAAAATAACTTGTTGACTAACTACGGGAATAACTTCTTTCATTATTGTATTAATATACATTCTTCTTAATAGTACGGTCTTCTCGGGTTATTCTGAAACAAAAATAAACTTTTTTGAACACTCTGTAGATTATTTAGTTTTTCGGCTTACCTAAGTAATTATTTGACGAGGAGCTCGACTAGTAGAAGTAGCAGCGCGACAGTCGTGGCGTAGAGGGTCGGGGAATGATGCTTATGAATATGAGCATCTAGCATGGCTTGAAACTAGTCGAGTTTCTCGTCAAATAATTACGAAAGTATAACACAATCATTAATTTAGTATGTATGCTCTGTAGATTACAGAGTTTATATATTAATCTGACTGAAAAAAATCTATGACGATTTTAATTGTAAATAATCGATTTCCATTTAAAGATTTTGGATTCAGATTGATTATTGAAATTCGCAGTAAGTGATAAAAGAAAATAATTTAAAAGAAAGAATTAACACTGATTAACAAAACATCATCCATACAGTTTGAACGTTTCTCTAAATAAGAGGGTTTGCTTAAAATCCCCAAGCTTGGCAGGCAGGTTAGCAGTGGCGTGCAGTCCATATAGGCGAAAAGGCAATGCCTACCTATAAATATCGTGAATATATAACATACATATAATGTACAAACGCGTTTATTAAAATTCAATAATATAATAAAAGTTTGTAAAAAAACGGCTAACATAAATACGCGCCTTTGTAAAGTAATGAATGCGCCCCGCACGCACCACGCATGCGCCACTATTCCTTAAATCTTGGTTGGCAGTAGTGACGTCACAAAAGAAATGTACCAAAAGTATGCACCGCGCATGCGTGAAGTTCACGACCATAGTCACGGTACAGAATAACCATTCATAATTATATTACGCGATTCCTGTTGATTGACAAAATGTTTGCAACTAAAAAATTAGAGGACCGTTCGTTCATCACTTGGAAAACGATCGTATTTTATTAAGAATTCTAAATACAATAAAACAACAACAAGTTATTGTATTTTTAAAAACAATTAAATCATAAAAGGATTTAAATTGATAAAATTTGTATGTATATCGTAAAGTACTGATGAATGGAGTACACCAGCGCCATCTATTGAATTTTTTGTTGAAACTTCTGAACTCGTTCGATATAATGCGAATGTATTTTTATAAATGCGTATTTAACAAATATTTTTCAAGTGTTTTAATTAAAGTTTAACATTTTTACGCGTTGTCGGTTTATAGAAATTTTAAACGAGGAGTTGACTTTATTATTATAAAAGTTAAAAGGAAGTTATTGATACGTCAAGATGGCGCCATTTACAACGTTTCAAATTATATGAATGAATGTTTTTTAGTATGAAATATTGGTTTAAGACGATGATGCAATTTCATTTGACTTACTAAATTAACGTTTGTTTTTTTGAAATTAAACGCTGCGTTACCTTAATTTTTAAGCTACATTTTTTTTATAATAAACACTCAATTGACTATTGGTAATGACTTCAATTCATTTCCAATGTTTTCGGCCATATTGTTTTCATGTGATGTGCGATCGCTTTGTTTATGTTTTCGTTTAAATTATTAGGAATTAGTTTTAAACATAAAGTTGCATAAATGTGTAGTAGTAGTTAAATATATGTGTAGGTTTTTCAAATAGTGTATTTGTTTCTCAGTTTCTAGTACAAGTACCTATATTATTCGATTGTGAAGTGTGTGTGAATAATAGGTAATTTTATGTGTTTGTTGAAAGTAAAAACAGTAAGATTTCGCAATGTCCTTTATCGGACTAGATTCAGGTAATGACCATAGGCAGAGGTGTACTCGAGTTACGAGAATTGACCCAAGTAAAAGGTAGGTAATGTAAATATGTACTATAATGGATCTTTTATTTGATTTTCTTGTTTATTGTTTGATAATTCTTAAAAATATCAACTTAGACTTCGGGTTGTACTGATTCACATATTAATTTATTATTAATATTTATGTAATGTAGTAATAACAAATGTACCGCATAGACTCGGCCGGCTCGGCCACAGCCGGCCGCGCTTGTTATTGTTTTGTTTGTTGACATAATGTAGGTACCTACGCTCTTAAATTCGTAATATATTATGATTTTGACCAGATTGATTAACCTTAACAATTCCATAATGAAATTTGGTTCATCAAATTTATGCTTCATTATTAAAATAAATAATAGATCTTTCATTATTTGTAAGTTTTGTTGGCTTATTCAATAGCTGATGAAGTACTTCACAAAAAATACGCGAGATGTCAGTGTATGTAATTTGGCGAAACAATACACCACAATATTCTTGAACGCACTTTTCAAAATATATTATGTACATGTACCTATCTTGTGTGAGCATGATTGTATGACCGGCGGGGGGAGGGGTTTAATCATACGATATTTAGTTGCCTACCCTGTCTCGAAAACCTGTGCACGCCACTGCAGGTTAGATACAACGGATATCAATAATAAGGGCAAATATCACCCGTAGCAGACATTTTGGCAAACATCCTTGATTTACTGACAGTTTGTTTTGCACTGTGAACTCACGTTTTTGCGTAGGAGGAAGGAAACAAATCGGGATCAAAGCACGTGAATGTCCATAACAACATAGGTACTTGTTTAAAGGCTATTTATACACGATTGTTTGAAGGGTTATTGTCGTATATTGATTCGTTTTATATAATATTACTCTTAGGCTTTTCCTTCACGTCCTTTTGTAAGGTTAAGGTTGATTGGTCGCGATTGTGACAGCCGAGTCTAGTTTGATATCCGGATCGGCAAGGCACTAGTAAAAGTTAAGAATTTAAATTTGTAGGCGGTGTATAGGTGAAAAGGGTATGTTACATTTAATGTGTGCAACATTTGCCTGGCCCTTTGGGTTTTTTTTCTGTAATAATTCTTTGATTGTTTACTTGCAAGTTAAAGATAAAGCAAATTACTAATGTAAACACCAAACACTAATGAATAACAGAACTGCGTAGTCAATAATCTCCTTTGATAAAAACAAAATACAAGAAAATTCACAAAAACTAAAGAACTAACAAATTATTCAAATACCATTCAGAATCTTTACATAAATTCTCAATGGTAATAAATTACAGACATTTTCTAGAGTTTTCTGCTCAGAAGTTCAATGTACTTACATAACTTGAATAATTTTAAATATGGCGCTATATTTGGTGTATCGTCATTCCCAATTACATGTGAATTATAAGAGTAAGCGTAAGAGTCAGTGTTTTATTGTACTTACAGGTGCCACCGGGACATAACAAGAACCGCAAGTATAAATTTTCTAGGAAAATCGTCTAGAATCCTATGAAAGTTTATAATTTTCCTAGGAAATTCCTAGAAAAGGAAAACTTACGGATCTTGTTATATTCTGGTGACATAGGCACCTCTGCCTTCCGCTGGGATTAAAAGGTTTGATGTTACGTGAGGAAGAATGAGGACTTACCAAAGGATTAGGTCTAAACCTATAGGCGAGCATCATTCGTTTCCGATAAGCGTCAAATTCATCGTCCTCCGCTGATACTACGTCTGATGTCGAAGCTCCCAAACCGAGGTTGGCTACGGGCTGATTTGCTCTGGATGACAATGAATAAAATATAATAGAGAATATCTAGTGATAAACTATTTAATATTACTATTCAGTGAGATAAGAGAAAATAATAATAAAGCAATTATTTTTTCAATTTAATTTGATCTTATGATCTCCAAGTGAACTACAATACACTTCAACATATCTATGTGCAATGAAGACTAAAAACAAAAGGGCCTAAACACAATTTAGAGCTAAATGATTCTGTTAATGACTAAGAGAGATTTCATTCTCAGAACAATTTAATGACTACTTGGTATCGGGTACTTAATATTAATGTATTCTGAATTTATACTAAGGCACCGATAAAAAGAGGTCCATTTCAAGTTTTATAATATGATACGTGACGTCAATCATAATACAATTTAGAACACACATACTTGGAATTCCATACAAAAAATGTGAAGGCAAGAACTAATTAACTGGATCAACAGGTTTATTTTGTAGAAATACATACGCATTGGTTTATTATGAGCCAAATAATTATCATGTTTTCGATTTCAATACACGCCATGCCATATCTTCTAAAAGTCTATTCGCCTTCGAATACTACGCAGCTTGTACGTAGATACTCTAATGTATCTAATGTATATTGTAGTTAGGAACAAAGTTACGAGTATCAGATTTAGGTCATTTAATATAAGGTTGAAAATAATACTCACTTGTTAATAGGTTCAACGATACCCGATCCCTCAGCGCCCAAGCCCTGCCCTTCAGTCCAACCCAGTTTTTGTAGCATTTTGAAACCTATGGACAAAGTAATAAAAAATATTTTTTATTAATATTATCGATGCTAATGTTGGTATTTCTAAAATCAGTATATGAAGAATAATAAGTAAATCCGTATTATAAGTAAATCAGTGGCGGTCGGTGGCGACCACAACAATAATTGGGAACCCAAAACTAATTGGGGATAGTCTATGAAAAAACGTTATATCAACAAAATCCAAATATTTTACGCAGTAAAAATGTAAACAAATGCGTCATAAATAAAATATTCACAAGAAAACTATTTCGGTAGAAGATATCTGAACAAAACATAAGATAGGGATCTGTTTCATCCCATATTATATAACATATCATTGCTCATCTAATCATTTCAAGATATAAACGACAATATTGAAGATTTTCCTACAAATTGTTACATATTTAGGATATTATCTGTGTGTGTCATCAGTATGTAAACCTCATTCAATTACTGGACGACATCCAACATACAGGCAATGAAATGAATTCGTAGAACGATGATGCTTTCTGCATGCTTGACCGATTATTTTGATTTTAAATTCGGAAGAGGAAATGACTGTAAAATATAGGGAAAAGTATTAAAATTCTTGCACTTGTAACTTGTGGTTTAAATAAATGAATTTATTAATCGTGTACAAACTAAAATCAAAAATAAACAATGTGACGCTTGAGTTCACTAGATTTGGCAAAAACAACAAAATGTCAATTCCGATTTCTTTCGTCTCATTTACATTCATCAATCTTAGTAAGGGAACTCCTTAGTCTTAATTTAACACCGTCAGTGGTCGATATATAAAATTGTAAAGTAAACTCATAAAAGTGTTACAACACCGGTTTTGTGAATTCAATAAATACACAACGCATAACGTACATAACATTCCAATAAATATACAACAGCATAACATACATAAAATCACGCCTTTTATCCCCGAAGGAGAGGCACTTAATGCCACTGTTCAATGTAACACCCACTTTTCACTATTCATGTCATGAGTCCCATTTAATAGGGGGTGATTCTATTGCCATATAGCGGGCACTTTACCAGACTGCGTCCTACTGAGGAGTTTTTCACACCTCACAGAGAACACAAAGCTCTGAATAAAACTGTACTCCTAAGTCGTAGTACATTTTCATCACTTACTCAATCAATTACAAAATTATTAGCCAATATTACGTTAAAATAATCTACGTTATATTTATTACAAATGATAACATGTGAAAGTGAATTCATTGGCAATACTACAACCTGAGGAATGAGGGCTAAAATTCATGAAACATTGTTACTGCGACATAACTTGACTTTGCAATGTCTATAAATAGTACAGACAATAGAAGATGCCAAAGTATTCGGCATACATAGTGAAAATATGATGTTAGTACAAGTGATGAGAAAATGCAAAAGGGCAATCTAGTTAAGCTGACTCGTAAGTCAGTCACTCAGCAGTAAGAGCATTAAGTAGAATTCGATGACATGATAGTAGAAAACATTAATATATGTTTTTCGATAAATAAATACTTTGTGTATGAATGTCGTGATGGCCCGGAGGTTTAAGACGCCCGCGAGTTCCAAACCTACCAACGGCAAGTACCAATGTGACTTTTTCCGAGTTATATGTACTTAGTAAGATTATCTAGACACCACTGACAAACGGTGAAGGAAAACATCGTGAGGAAACCTGGGCTTATAATTTCTAATTATAAGTTTGAAATCGCCAACCCGCGTTGAGCACGCGTGGTGATTAATGCTCAAACCTTCTATGTGTGAGAAGAGCCTTTGCTCAGAAGTGGGCATTTATAGGCTGTTGATGATGTATGTAAAATATGTAAATACTTGGTTAGTTTGCGACTGTAACCAACTCTGTAAGTTAGTCACTATTAAAATGGGACTTATAATTGCAATTAGCAAAAGTGACGTTATTACAAAGTTCACCTCTCAATCTATATTAACATTTTGAAGAATTTTTATTCATACGAGACCAAATAGGTCAACGACTTTCCTAAAAAATTACTGCTGTCAAATCATTCGCATAAAATCGGTTGATTGATTCAAACACATTAATTTTATAATACGCTTTAGCCTTCTGCAGCTATTTCTGTCGAGGAAAACGTACTGAAATATTTAGGCGCACTCACCGACATTGTCTTCCTTCAACTTGAATTCTTTGTAGTCACTCAAATCTGGCTCCTTGCCACTTTTGAATGCTGAATATTTCTCCATGAACCTGCAATGTAGCCTTTATTAATAACAATGGATGGTACAATATTAGCTTATTCGTATAGTATAATTTCGAAGGTGCACTGACTTCTAAGATACAGGTTTTTTATTTACGATCTGGCCCACATAGCCATGATCCTAAAATGTAAAAATTGTGATCTTTTTGGTAATCATAAAGATTTATTTGTTTAGTTTATTTATTTATTTAATACCTAAATTTTAAAATTGCTATTTGGAGCGACCAGATGTAGTTTTGCGTATGTTGTTTGTTTACAAATATTTAACATTGATCTTAGGCTTTGGCACCCAAGTGGGATCTTAGAACAAATTGGCATAATTATATTCACGACGTAATCCCATAGCCAAAATAATTAATTGTTGTATCTTATGCAATTAATTTACATATTACCACCACCGAACATATTACACCACGAGTTATTCACACAAGTAACAAACAAGAAACTGCACGAGAAACTTTGAAAAGACGAATAAACCATCAAAACATCTAGATTTCTAGAACATTCGAATAAAAAAAATACTTTAAGTCATAAACAAAAGCAGACTAAACATAAAAACAGAATTAAACACTAAAATACATTTTAACGTTGAACAAGAAACCCGTAAATTGTGTTTATAAACAATAACTTACTTTCTTAGTTCCTCTGGCGGTAAGAAATCGCCAATGTGATGTTTTCCAGCCGCCTGCTTTGTTAGCTCATCCGCCCACTTCTCTGTTGCATTCATTTCTTTTGCTCTTAACCTATTAAAAAGGAATAAAGAATTTAGAACAAGGTTATTCATTGAGAATGTATTTTACTAGTTTCATTATTGTTTACGATGTAATAATCGATACTGATGAATGATTCCATACTTTTCTTTCTAGATATGTATTTATATACTGAATCATATTGCACAATGTACATTTACATACAACGATTACAGTACATTACCCTGTTAGGGAGCAGCAATTTAACTTAAATAATTAGATAATACTAGCGACCCACCCCGCATACATAGAGACAGACAGACGGCGGATAGCGACTTTGTTTTATACCCTACTCTCTACTCGTGAGAGTCGGTATTTCGCAATCCTCCCGCCTTGAAACCCTCAAGGAAGAGGAGGATCGCGTTTTATATTTGTTACTAACATGGCAGCTACAAAGTTATTTATTCTTAAATGTATTATCACATTCACTTTTATGCAGTATTATATAAAAAAGTATTATTACAACCTTAACGTCTTTATTTCCAATACCACTGTTCTAATGACAATGATACCATTGGTATTGTCATATACCACCCATTTTTCTTCCGTTGCGTTATAAATTCCATGGTACATGGTAACAATAATAATAATATCACGCACAGATTTAAACTAATGTATTGTATGAGATATAATGTAGAACAAGAAATAAATAATTAATTGATTTATACAATATGCGAACTCAAACCGGATTGGGATTAAAACAAATATGAGAACAAAAAGGGGTGTTTTATGAGCTTTTTTGGCGTTATATATTTATATTTCTTTTTGCACCAGATGCCCCACATGGAAAAGAACTGTGACTGCATCTCTTTGTTCCTCCACACATATCTTTTAATTTATTGCCACACAGATATGTTTTACGCGTATTGTATCATTTAATTTATTTATTTAAACGAGTATACCTTACTTTTCACCCAATTTTAGATCTCCTGTTATATTGTTTTTTTTTTTATTTATTTATTAGGTTAACCAACAGTTATTTATACTCATTCATTCATTACATCATTACAACGAATACTTTGGTAAGTGTAACAACTCCTTACTGTGTATGTTTGTTTGTGTTGTATGTATGTTTTACACATTAACAAAAAAATATTTGTTTGAATAGTAATAAACTTAATATTTGTTTTAATTATGGGTTAAAACATTAACATCATTATGGCTGCATTCCTTTTGATATGTAGGTATTAAAGAAGGTATGTTCGGAACATAATACACGTGGCGCCACCTGTTGCATTTTTGTATGACTGAGACGCTGTTTACCGTGCCAAAAATGCACTTTATATTAATGTAGTTATTTGTTTGAACAATTGGTATGTTTACTCGGTCAAAAATTAATTGGTCTGGCTTTCCAATAAATTATAATTATTCTAAAATAAATCACACTTAACCCAAATAAACAAATCAACTATGTATTATAATATGAAGAGTTTAAGAAATTATTTTTATTTAACTACTCGTGAGCTTCAAACCACAACTGAAATCAATAGAATAGGGTAGCTTCCAGTGTAAGAAAATTAAAAATCTAATTAGTCCGTCAGTTACATAATGAAAAAGTATTAGACACGTATTTTTTTATTTTATCGTATAAAGTTACAATACTTAAATAAAATGGAGTCAAGTTTAGGAGTGGGAGGTAGTTACGTCACAACGTGCTACATTTGTTGCACGCTGTGACGTCACACGACATTTCAAATCAATATATCGTCGAAAGCATTTAATTTTGTGACAAAAGAAAAAATACGTGTCTAATGTTTTAAAATAATCTACCAGACGGACATCAAAATAAAGATTAGAAAACTAGCCTATTCAGTTGTGGTCTGAAAAGGTTGCTAAACTAGTTTCAAGCCACTACGGGGTTTAAAAACATCGGCAGCACTTGTTGTGTAACCTCCCTGAACGCCCTAATACTGAAAGGCTACTCATTTTAAAGTAGTACTTAAATGTCGTGCCGTCTCTGTCATTTTACAAAGAATTTGTAGTGACAGAACTATACTTAAGCGCAACTTCAAATTGAATGGCGTATGTGTATTTGGACGTAAGTTATAGTATGTAATTACTAATTCATTTACCACAAAAATTATGTTAATAATCCCATTCTGTGTATTGTAACTTTCATGAGACATACTAAATAAATTATTATGTTTTCGGCTTACTCGCGTAATAGACGACGAAGACTTCGACTAGGTTCAAGTCATGCTAGAGGCTCATATTCATGTGCAGCATTTCGCGACCCGCGACGCGGCGACTGTCGCGCTGCTACTAATACTAGTCGAGTTCCTCTTCAAATTATTACGTGAGTAAGCCGAAAACATAAAACCCATTCTTGTTCATCAGCAATGGAAGTATTTGCAAATAATGCAATTATTTATCTACTTAATTGTACATCACTTACTTATGTTCCCAGGTACCTTCGGCCGTGTCCTCGTCGCTGTCGTATTCGTACTTATACTTGCCAGCAGCCGCCAGGCGTTCCACCTCTTGCCTTTTCTTTAACATGTCCTGTAGGAATAGAATTTATTAAAACACATTGACCAGAGATCATGGGATAGAAGAGCAACATCTGATTGCAGTCTTTACGAAATGTTGGGGTGCAATAAACTTTTGTAATTAATTAAAAATAAAATCGATTTCTGTGTATTACCAAAGAGCCACAAACTGTAGGTACTGTATTTACTAATTAGAAGAACTAAAGGATAGAAGATGTGATTATAATCATTTACAATATTGATGATATTTAGGTAACACCTGATCACCACGATCAGAAAGTTGACAGAGCATAAGTAAATATTTGCTGTTTACAAGAGATTTTAAAGGACAGAATCGGGGATTGGGGAGATTGGGAATTGAGTAATTGAGCCTCCGATAACCCCACTTACACGACAAAACACAACGCAAGCGTTATTTCAAGTTTTCTGTGAGGTCGTGGTATCACTCCGGTCGAGCCGGCCCTTTCGTGCCATTTACAGATAATCATCTTCAAATTCCTTATTTCCTTTTGTGGAAATCCTACACATAATAATAATTAAATAAATATTACCTGATATAAAAGATTAAGTTTGAAATTATCCTCGCACTTCTTCCAGTCCTCAGCACTGAGATTTGTAGTACCATAGTTTGTCAAGGCATACTGCATCAGCGCCTGATTGTTGCGGTTCACTGTACTCAGTTTTATGCCCTCCTCATCTATTTTAGCCAATTTTGTTCCTATAAATAAAATTAGTTATTATAATAAAACTATGAGAAAAAGCACATTGTAAAAAAATATGGTATGAAACATAAGATAGATGAAATATATCAGACAATTGAAAGATCAAATATTTTTTTGGTCTACATTTGGCCTCTTTCTCGCCTGGTGGCAAGCGATGATGCTTACGATAGATTACTGGGTGATGTAATCTGTCGTCAATAAGTTTATAAAACTTTGGGACACATCATCCAAAAGTGAACTCTCTCCTCATAACATAACAATCTTAATTTACCTGGCACCATAGGTGGTAGTGGAGCTACGACCCCTGGTGGTTTAATATCAGCTGCGGGAGGATCATCACTCCACCTGGATTTCTTCTTCTTCCTCCTTTCCCTTTTACTGTCAGATTCCTCATCACTCTGCGAGCTCGGTTGTTCCCGTTTGTAAGACTGACTGAAGCCAAATCCCTCTTTAGTACTGTAACAGTTACTTTTAATCATTAAATTGTGTTTAACATAATCCTAATGACAACTAACAATTTTGACGATTAGATAGCGCTGATGTAACATCTGATTCTATTTGTCCAATCACTGTAGTGGCAATTGGATACTTTACTTAGTCAAAAATAAATTATTTCGACTGTCCAATACAATAAAATATTAAAAAGTAATCACACTTTCATTAATTGATTTTATGACCAACTTAATTTTAGTATTTTTCTACCAATTTTTTAAGAAACAAGAACGCCGCTTGACTCTAAAAAACGTGACGTCACAATACATATTCTCGTACAAAATTTATAGAAAACTGTGGTTTTTTACAGTTCTAAAAAAGTATTGAATTTGACTAGTTGTCAAATACCCAATTACTGTTCAATGATTGATTTATACTAGGTAAATCTTTATGGGACAAACGCTACATTGACGCCATCTATATCGCCATATGTAGGTAAGCTCAAAAACGTTAGCCCCCATTATGGCAATACGCAAAGTAATGCAAAGCAAGGTAACGTGCTATTAACTATTAACAAGAATATAAAAAATCAAGGACTATGTCTTTATGTGATGCATAATAAAAATATCCCAACCTTTGGTTACAGAGGTTGACCTATTAAACTCGAAGGTCACTTACTACATGAAATAGTTTTAGCTTTACACACAGTTTAAGACTAATTATAATTTATTACAGATTGCACTAAAAATAATTAGAATATTTGTTACTTACCTATCCCGGCTATCATCTTTATTATTAAATCTGTAATCATCATTACTGTCATCATCTTCCAAACTGAACTCTGGTTCATATTTATCTTCTGGTTTCACTTCAGGTTTCTTGTCACCTCTTTCACCCCTGATCTTAGCAACTAGATCTCTAAACGCCTTATACTCGTTCGAATTAGTGTTGTGAAGGAACCTGGAATGATTCGCTTAGTACAATCATCTAATGTAGAGGGTAAAGAACAACAAAGGATGCGTTTGTGTTAGGTTTTATTCAACCTGAAAATACTGTTATGGAACAACTTGCTCAATAAAAGTCTTTTATCGTGTTTTGATCAATAAAAGCTGGTGTTCCATCACAGTCGTTGCGACAATAATGTATGTAAATAAAAAAAGAATACAGCACGTATCCTCCTGCTGGGGATCAAAGTGGCTACAGTGGCATTACCACAAATTTTGGTCTTGTGAGTGAATTGCTTTCAGGACATTTTCCCAGTGGTCGCCGTTGCAGGCGACTTCGCTGGCGGCTCGCAGGACTGACGGCGGCAACGAATCTGCAGAGAGAACTGCACACCACGAGTCAACATATTGTCTGGAGATCACGACGACGAGGAACCGGGGCGACTATTTATGTTACTACCGCGGCTTTAGGTAAAGGTTGGGTGACGTCACGATACCTAAGTGAACTCACGTCATTATCGTTGAAGGTATTAACAGGTTGTATAGATTAGCCTCTACTGATTACATCTCAGAAAATAAATCGTTTTATAATTGCAACTTAAATTGTAGTATCAATAATTATGACTCATAAACCAGTAATCAACCAATTACTAGGCTTAAAGTGCGTCCAGATCTGATGAATTCCGCTGCTCGTGACAGGTGCCTTCCGATCAGCTCAGATCCGGACGCACCCTTACGCATACGTTAAATCTTTCTATACGCATTTTAGGGAGCAACTTATGTAAAAGACTTAGCAAATGAAAATTGCTAGTAAACTAAGCAAATAGAAAGAAAATATTATTATTTACATCCTATACAATAAATCAATAAGGCATTGTGAACGTTCACCCAACATTTACCGCTATTCCTTCGTTAAATAAATTGTCGCTTACTCTTTGCAAAGGTTGCCAAATGGCAACAGTACATGCAAATTCTCTGATATTTAGATTGAAATATGTACATTAAATCGCTAAAATATGATTATCCATAAATTTTAGAACTAATCAGGCTTTGTTTACTATAATAGCGAAATGAAATTGAAAAAATACTGTTAGCTTCGTCGATTTTTGTCTTCTCGAAAAGGAAACATGCAAAACTATGATACTTATGGATCAACATAGAATACTAAATATCAGAAAACTATTGAAGTTAAATATTTATTGCTTGGCCTTTGCATTTGTACAACATATTACAGAAAAATGGTCGTATTTTTAAGGTTACCCAATTTATTGGAACAATCAAATAAAATAAAAGTTGCTCTGTTATAATTTCGAAGCTAATTGTTGATATTTCAAGTTCTTTATAATACCAGTTATTAGACCACTTTTTCCAACACATGTTGTACCAATAAGTTTATACTACAAAGGCATTTAATACAGAGAAATATGGTAGGTTTTTACCTTGCGATGGTTTAAATGGAGGTCCAGAGTTGTCCATATCTTTAGGGTTGCCCAAAAGTCCAAGTGGCATAGGTGGAGGCAATGGCATTCCATCTGGTTTCATCGGTGGACCATCCATAGATTTGGAATCAGGGTGGTGCATGTTTGGAGGCATATTAGGAGGCATAAATGGTGGCATTGGAGGACCATTACCATTACCAAAGTTTGGAGGACCATTCGGCCCGAAAGGTGGACGGCCGCCCATGAAAGGCATATTGTTATTCATAGAATTAGGAGGCATCATTGAATTAGGCGGACCATTTGGACCCATCATATTTGGGAAAGGCGGACCAAAGAATGGAGGCATCGGACCATTTGGACCTGGGCCACCAGGACCCATATTGGGACCACACATGTTAGGCGGCATTGGACCACAAGGCCCTGGGCCATTTGGACCCATGAAATTAGGCGGCATAGGAAAATTAGGAGGTCCACCCATAAATGGAGGCATAGGACCGCCAGGTGGCATTGGAGGCATAGGGCCCCTAGGACCCATCATCGGTCCTGGCCCCATACCTGGTCGGGGACCCATATTAGGCCCTGGACCCATATTTGGACCATGGCCCATATTAGGTCCGGGCCCATTACCTCCAGGGCCCATATTGGGGCCAGGTCCCATGCCAGGCCCTGGGCCCATATTAGGACCAGGGCCCATATTTGGACCTGGCCCCATACCAGGTCCAGGACCAGGTCCCATTAGACTAGGGCCCATAATACCTGGAGGCATTGGCCCTGGTCCCATTGGCCCAGGTCCCATATTAGGACCCATTTCATTACTGGAATCAGGATCTTCATCAGACTTAGAGCCTAGCCATTGGTTACGGTCAGAATCTAAAGATTGACTATTTGGTGGCATAACAGGGATTTGCATGAGGGGAGGGATGTTATGAGGATTTTTGTTGTCCACAAGCTTCTTTCTGTCTTCCACAACTGGTGTTATAGGACTGTGGGGACGTGGACGACCTCTATCATTCCATCTATGATGTTTTGGCCTGGAAAATTAAAATGAGAAATTATAAACTTTATCTTTGTTAACATACCAGCTAACAAAACTATAATTTATCCAATTTTACCTTTGTCCTCTATCCCCAGACTTGCGTCTGTCATCAATGCCTTGCCCATAATGTTCTCTTTCATATGGATCGTCAGTAGAGGATTGATCTTTACTCTCATGCTTAACTGACGGTTTTGATTCATCATCACTATGATTCTTATCCTGTTCTTCTTTCTCCTGCTTGTCTTGCTTCTGTTTTTCAAGCAAGGCCTTGAATTGGTTCATGAAGCTGCCATCATTGGAGAAAATGTTGACAGAGCCCTTATCATCTTTTTGGGTAGGACTGGAAATAAAGTATTAGTTGACTTTTAGCTAATTGTTATTGGAAATCCTTACTAATATTATAAATCGGAAAGTGAGTTTGTTTGTTTGTTCCACTTTCACGCCGTAACTACTAAACCAACTACTGCTTTGAATTTTTGCAGATGTGCAGTTAGAAGTCTGGATTAAATAATAGGGTAGTTTTTATCCTGGAAAAATTTGATATTCTCGAGGGAAAACGAAATTATTGGTATAGATGGCGCTATGTGTATTGGTATATGTCATATAAGCTACTTTTTATCCTTTTGTGATGCGAGCGAAGCCGCGGGTAAAAGCTAGTTCCTAATAAAATATTGGAGAAAAGTAGTCTATAATGCTTTTATATCATGTAGAAAACAGAAACCTGTTCCAATAAAATCACATGCCTGTTCCAGCAAGTAGACCGAGGGAATGTTTTACTTTCATTAGTTGAATAGCTGTTTTTTAGCTTGTTGGTTCTGCATCAAAGACCTCATACATACATTGAATAAGCAACATTGCATTGTTGGCTGACTCGGTGGAGCGAATTGTTAGCAACACAATAGATAGATAACTAGGTATTATGAATACAAGTATTTGTATTTAGCTATAATCAATATGCATAACAGTACATTGATTAGTTTCAAGTACCTGTGCAATTACATATTTCACACTGATAATATTACTAGCTGTTGCAGCGTCTGTGTCCATATAGAATATAATTTTAGAACATAATTTTTGTTACAATTTCCTAAATAAAAATAGTCTCTGTTACTCCTTAGTACATTAGTCAATAAAAGTCTTGCAAAATGGGTCCAGCTATTCCAGAGATCACCAAAAACACAGACAGACAAAATGTTAGGAATTATAAAATGTTAGGTAGTTTGATATGTGTACCTGCATACATTGGTCAAAATTTAATGTTATTATTTAACTGCATTCCACTTATAGAACATACCAATTAAATAATGGTTTGATGATTTCATGGTTTAAGGGCATGGCATTTTATTGAAAAGAATAATTTGTAGGAATTTTACAAGGTTGGGTGGGTACCTACTATAAGCCATCCTACACCCATAACCGAGTTATATTCATAATTATGTTGAAAAAACAAAAAATATAATAAAAACAATGTAATTCTAATACCCTTAGGTGTATTGTGATTGAATTGATGAAGTGTGGTAATTACTGTCGTCTTATTGATTGGAACTACTATTCATTACACCAACGCAAATGAAAACAACTTCATGAAAATGTTACGACGTGCGAACATATAATTGGATTGACTAAATAATACTTACTTTGATAGTTTTGCTTGAGCGGCAAGCGCCGCAGCTTGCTTCTGGGCCTCCAATTTAGCCTGTATCTCCATTTTCTTCCTCTCTATAATCTGCTCTTGTTTCGACATTTGAGCCCATCTTGTGCTAAGAGCTGATTTGTTTTTATTATCTTTGAAATGAATCATTGTATTTGCTTGATTTTATTGAACAGAAAAAGGGAAAACGTATTGATATTAAAATACAATACACCAACTATAACTCTAGCCGTCGCGATTCGCTCGCATTACCACTTGCACGAACTTCACACCAGTCCCCAGCACAGCAACCACAGACTATATAGAAATACTAAAATAGTCACTTTTTACAGTGTTGTAACCTAGAAAAAGTAACTATTTAAGGGGGCCATACACGCTAGGTTTTGCATGATGGTTTTAGCCGTGCATGCATTACCAACAGGCAAGCCCTAGCGTGTATGTGATTAAACTATACCGTTATCAGTGCATCGGTGCTCGATAATGCTTGTCGGTTTTTAATGCACAGTTATAACCATCATGCACAGTCTAGCGTGTATGGCCTCCTTTATACATGAACTAGCTTTTACCCGCGATTTCGCTCGCGTCACAAAAGGATAAAAAGCAGCCTATGTGACTATAAACAATTAGCACCATTTATCGCCAAGTAGTTGCGTAACTACTACATAGACACCGATTTCGTGTCCCTTTAACAACCTAAAATCTATAATACTAAATTCAATGTAAAATGGTTAGAACCAATATTCAAAAGCGAAAAATACTTAATCCGTTGAAAATTGTTGAAAATCATCCCCTACGTTTGAAATTTGTTCATAATATATAAGTAGTCTCAAAACATTGAAAATAAGGTCTATAATGTAGTTAGTGGAGAACGGTCACCAGTGACCACTTGGCGATATATGGGTTAAAAAACACAACGTTACCACGTTTTTAAAAATGAAATATAAAACAGCAAATAAATGAGTCGAAAAGTGCACCGAATAAGTGTAGATTAACACCAAATAAGCGCTATAGATGAAAGCGTGAAATTTCCAATTAGTAGGTAAATCATTGAATTGTTTTAAATGGCATATAGCGCCATCTATACGAATACACACAGCGCCACCTATACTAATATTTTTGTTTCATTTTTTAGGGATAAAAGTACCCTATTAATCTGGACTTTTATCTTTACGCCTGCAAGATTTCAAAGCAATCGGTTTAGTAATTACGGCGTGAAAGCGGAACAAACAAACAAACTCACTATCAGATTTGTAATATTAGTAAGGATAAGGATAAGGATAATAAGGATGTACTTTACTTACTATCCATTTGCCTCTCTAACTAACGAAATGTATTATTACTAGAAAATTCTAGATAGAAAATTATGAATTAATTTTTTTTCTAGAAATATCTAGACAGTAGGATTTTGAGCTACCTACATATTAGCGATTTTGGCGATTTTTATTTTAGCCGAATTTTAGAATATAATTGCAAGATATTTTATTTGTTCGTGAAAGATCATGAAACATATTGAAAATATTCTGAGTCCTTTTTCCCATTTCGAATAAAATAAAACACATTGAATACTTCAAGAAAAATGAAAAACAATAGGTACCTACTACCAACCTACTACATACTATCGTCTAATCGTGAGACGATTTCTACTTTCAAGTAAGTTTTAAGACCTTTTATTTTAAACTATTTTATTGGCACAAAAGTTTAAAACGCAACTGGCGGGCAACGGGCTTGGGGTGTAATGGTTGGGAAAATAGGTAGGTTAAGGTACATACGAAGGAGTAGGTAAGTACTTCATATGACTTGTAGGTCTAGTGAGATCGTTACTTGTATTATTATAACTACCCGACTTCTGCCTCGATGATTGCGATGTCTCAGGTTCAACTCCTGTGGTTTTGGTTATGTTTTAGGTTGGTGTGAACTGAAGGACCAAAATCGTGTACTAAGACTTTTTCGTGTGTCGTGGTGGCGTTTACCATACGATGTCACATTCGCATCACACCCAGTTCAAGGGCCCGCGCCACGCCGGTTGCCCAACCACTTTTCTCATAAAACTCATTTTTCTCGATACATGGCAACAAACTCATTTTTTATTAAGTACCTACATTATAAGACTCATAGCATAACTTGTGGAAAGTTGATATTTAGTGCACATATCTCTCTATATCCCTTCGATCAAAAGGCGTGATGTTTTGAGTATAAAGTATTTTCTTATCGAGTCGCCAGGACCTTTGTAACTAGTCAATAGATTTATTATTTAAACCTAGATTAGTTTCTTTTCTTGCGTAGTATGTAATTTTTATCAGCCTAGTTTCATAAGGATTCATTTCAAGTAATCAAAATATTTACAGTAGATACTTACTATACCCAGTAGCCATAATGAGCTGCATTCTAGATCCCCCTTAAGTAGATCTTGCTTATATTATTGCAGTTGCCGGATCCAAGACGATTGTTCACGGCCTTGAAAATCAGGTTTCACCGTTTCGGTGTTTCTCTATTGTACCATCTTGTAGATTTCATTGCGTCTGATTATTATATTATTTTTCCATGTGATACGAACTACAAAGTAAGTGCAATAGCTTGTACCTATTAGGAAACAAGTCGTACTAGGCCAAGGCCTAAAATGAAACATCAAATATCATTGCAATATTATTCTTTTTATATTTTTTTTTCATCAGTTTAAATGGAAAATACAATTTCATTTATTTATAATGTTGTCATTTATTTATTGTAAACAAATATATTATAAAAGATTTACATATTACTATCAAAACAAAATATTCACAAAATGGCAGACTAACTAAACAATTACTTAGCTGTTTCATCAAGCATGCTAACAATTGCATCGTTTTTAGCTAAATAAGAAGGAGAAAGTTTGGCACTGATCCCATTATTCAAATTAAAGAGAAGATGGCATAAATGCACATTGCAGCAACACTATCTGTCGTACAAGATAAGTTAGTCTGTTTGTCCAGATTTTGAATAGGTACCTTTTACAACGATACTCTTCACAACCTCTCTTCAGCTCATGTATTGCATGATCTAATACTGACTACCTAATATACTTCCATAAGGCCGGCGGACGGCTGGCGTCCGCACTCTGCCAAAGTTTTCAAAACTATAAGGACAACGCCAAAGAGAGCCTACAACTGACTATTGTTTCTGTGGTAACTTGACAGTTATAATAAACTAATCTGCTGCCTCATTAAATCGAAATTCAAATTGACTTAATTAAAAAAAAAAAACAACAAACTCTGGCTCCTTTCATAACAATACAAATTCCATTGAATGGATAAAAGTAACTCAATTTAAAACATTCAAACAAATCCTCAATCAATTCAAATTAAAAAAGTACCTCTTCACATTTCTGCATTACCCTGCCTTAACAAAATCATATTATACACTTAGACAGTTGACAAACAAAAAAAAGCAATGGAAGAGGACAATGAGCAAAAGAAATCACAAAATATATAGAAACATTCGACATTGTGTAAGGTTGCTTCAACAAGTGTGCTTGATGTTCTACGTGAACATGGGTTGCGAACTTACACAAAATATTTCGGTGTAGCAAATAAGCTAGGTCTCTTCCACTGTTACATGAAATGCCGAAAGAAAAGTATAATTCATAAATTGTACCTATACTTTGTTTATACTCTAATTTTTTTTTACATTTTAATAATTTAAAAACAACCAGTACTTGGTCGAGAAATTTATATCCATTTTTTTTGTGTATTTTATATTTTGATGAAATATTTATTTATAAGCTAATTAACGTGAGCCGATGTCAGGATTCATAGCTAGTCGTCGTTCGCTCGAACCGGCTGGCAAGTCTGTTTCTCTCGTCCGCCCGACTCGAGCTTGTATAAACGTATCTATACACATTAACACTACCGCATCGTCTATACATCTTGACTCATATATAATGCACTGATATTTCGAGGGGCACAAGGAATATCGCAGCATTGTTTCATTGCGCGCTGAGCGCTAAGGCCGCCGCCGCGCGGTCGGTTCGCACCAACCATAACCATCATTCTATATTCATATAATTTCCCCGTCATATACATTTTATAGCAATTAATAAAAATAAAACACTAAGATTACATCCCTTAACATGTCTAAATGTCTAATTCGTACTCTATTTACATTTGACATAATACATAATATTCAAATTGTTCGGTGAATCGACAGTCTTGCGAGATCGATGTCGAGCCCGGGCTCGCGGCGGCGGCCGACCTCTGATTACTGTACAGCAAATTTACAATAACATTTGATCAGAATACGCAAACTCAAAGATCTATATCTAAAAATTAAAGTAAGGTAAGGATCATCGTGTATGTAACGCCCGCCTTAAGCCGCTATAATATCAGCTATGTTAAGTAATATAACATATTAAGTTTGCACATGACAAAAATGCCACTAGATAACATATACAACAATATTAAATTAAATAAAATAGGCCACATTCATTGTTATGGTTGAAATATGGGGTTAACACAACCTAATTTGAAGTTCCATAGGTAGATGCGATCGAATACAACAAAAGTAACGTAGTAGACAAATACATTGTGGCGGATTTGTCATGCGACAACAAATCATACATATTTGGGAATTAGTACTCCTAATTTATCTCTAGCTAGGATTTAAGAAGATGACGTCACTAAATACTAAATATCTTCTACACTGTACAATGGACTATGATATTTTATTGAGATATTTTTTTCCTTTGTATAAACGTGACAAAATACAAATATTTCTGTCCAACTTTACAATAACTTAACCGGTAACAATCGAGCAACATTTGACATTTTATTACTCCCTTTGTGACAGTATAATTAGATAATATTATATTTTATTACGTTAGAAAGGGGTATCTTATTTTAAATGGTCTGGGATTTGTAAATATTGGTCTAATCTACGTTATGCAGATGTCAATATGACACGTGATAGGGGTTCTAGTTAGTGGTGTCATATTGAATCTGGAACGGAATTACGACCGCGTATCTCCTATGCATTATTGCCTGTAAAAATATAGTATTCACATTCTTTTATCGCTATCCATGTACTAGGTGCGCCGATGAACAGTGCTAAATCAACGGTTTTGACAAATGGAATGCATTTCTCACAATATCCACTTTCAATAATCAACAACCTCCCCGAAAAATATTAACAGAAGAAATCTACTATCAATAAACAAATGTTTCAGTTAGTATAATGCACGTTATATTCAATAGTTATACGAATTATTATAATAAAACAATCGATAGTTCTTAAACTAGTGGTAACAATAACATTTCAACTGTTTGTTCCTATCGATTTCAATTGAGTTCGTTTTTTTATTATACTTGTAATAAATGACATTTAACAC